GGTCCATGGCAATGAAGTGCTGCGGGCCGGAGTAAGGGTTTGACTGCTGTCTGGTAGTCTTTCCCCTCTGAATCGGTAGCTGTTGCTACTTGCAGGCTTCCTCCCTGGGAAACTAGGAGGGCTCTGCTGACTGCGGCCCCAGGTTCTTCTTGGGTATGTGGCCGGACTGAGCACAGTTGTGCGCCTGGGTGTTGGGAACTCTGGGTCGGTCTTTCAATAATCGAACCGCAAGTTGTGTTTGGCTGTTGCTCGGGGTTGCTCCACTGGCTGACCACCATGGAGTGCCCTGGGCTGGTCTTGCATCCGCTGTTCTTGCTGTCAAGTCCCCACGGGCTGACCACCATGGGGCGTGCGCTGGCCTTTCCTCTTGCTGCGGGCCAGAGTAAGGGTTTGACTGCTGTCTGGTAGTCTTTCCCCTCGGAATCGGTAGCTGTTGCTACTCGCAGGCTTCCTCCCTGGGAAATTAGGAGGGCTCTGCTGACTGCGGCCCCAGGTTCTACTTGGGTATGTGGCCGGACTGAGCACAGTTGTGCGCCTGGGTGTTGGGAACTTTGGGTCGGGCTTCAACAATAGGGCCGCAAGTTGTGTTGGCTGTTGCTCGGGGTTGCTCCACTGGCTGACCACCATGGGGTGCCCTGGGCTGGTCTTGCATCCGCTGTTCTTGCTGACAAAGTCCCCACTGGCTGACCACCATGGGGCGCGTGCTGGCCTTGCCTCTCCTCTGGGAAAGTTGGCCAGTCTGTACCTTCCCTTTTCGCCACTGTGTGCCTGGTACCTGCCCGTGTTGGTCGGTAACTTCGCTGTCCTTCTTCGATTTACAGCTTTCCGTGCTGACCTTCGTTGCACCAGTGGCTTCATGATGGTGGTTTTGATGATCTGGCAAACTCTCGCATTTTGCGACTCCCCCGCATGCTCTGCGCTGCTTGATTACACCTGGTTTTCTGTGACGACTTCGAGTACTGAGCGCGGGGGACACCTAGACGTTTGGCGCTTTTGGTTTTGGCGGGTTGCTGCGGGTTTTTGTGGTTGTGTTTGGTGGTGTTTTTGGTGTGTGCTTGCTTTGGTTTTCGCGCCTGCGACTGTTTCACCTCTAGTGTTGAGACCCACAAGGACGGCCTACTGCGCTGCTGATGTAGTAAAGAGGCGACGGTTCAAAAAAAAAAAGTCTGCATGCTCGCAGTAGTCTTGGCAGACACTCCAAGGACGGGCGGTATTCAAAATGCCAAAGCGGTCACTGTTGTCATAACCAAGACCGGCAGTGAACCACGTGCCGGGAGGGTCAGCCAGTTTGCCCCATGGTGATCAGCCAGTGGTACAGGCCACAGCCAACAGTGCAGCGTAGAGACGCTCGGTGTTCACCGAACTGAATTCTTCCCCATGGTGATCAGCCGTGGGGATGTCCAAGAGTAGCCAAGGCGACCGCAGTGATCGGCAACCGAGACATGCGGGAGACCACCAGTGCCGACCCCTCCCGCAGGAGGGTGAGCCTATTTGCCTCAGCCTGTGGGGTCTTCTGCATGGGCCACAGCCAACTGCCCAGTGCAGCGTAGAGGCACACGGTGTTCGCCGTTCTGAATCTTCTTATTCCATGGTGATCAGCCAGTGGGGTTACTGAACGCGTGGGTCTTATTAGTAGTCCCGCCGCCCCTTTTGGTTTTGGTTGGTTCTTGTTTTGTTTTTTGGTTGGTTTTGTTGGTGGTGTTGTTTGTCCTTCTTGTTCTTCTGCTTCTCACGGCGATCCGTTTTTCACACCTGGCTGCGAGACCCACAACTGATGTAGTAAAGAGGCGCCCGCTTTCAAAAAAAAACATTCGACGAGCTTGGACACTGTGCGCGTGGAGTCTTCTGAGCAGTTTCGCCCGTTCTGATTTGTCGGTTGTTTCTCGTATTGCTTGGTTGGTTGGGTGGTTTCTTCTTGGTCTTCTGTGCCGTTAGACTGTGCAGCGCCAGTGGGGTGGCAGGGCAGGTGGAGGAAGCGTGGCAGGGGGCGGAGCAGTGCGGAAGGGCAGAAATGCGCGGGTTCAAGTTTGCACCTAGATTGCTGAGTCGTTGTTGAGTTATTGTCAATTGAGTTCGCAAAGTTGAACGTTTTTTGGAAGTGAGTTTTTTCTCTTTCCCAAAAAAAAACTCCCACGGACCAGCAGCTAGTGCTTATTTCGCGCCTTGCAAGGCAAGATGCGCTGAAAACAAAACCTCAGTTCCTTCCCAAGAGTTGTCGGGGAAGCCGAGTTGCTAAAGAAGATCAGATTTTTTGCAGAGACTTGTGGCCAAAGTCCGTATACTATTCTGGTAAAGTCTCACAATCGACTGCTCTTAGCGTCTGAAACGCTTGTGAGACTCCATCTGCAACGCTTATGAGAAGACTGCCAGATGAAGCCAGTGCACTGGTCAATGTTGCCTCCGCGTGACCTCGTGAACAATGAAGCCGAGTCCTCGAAGCGGTTATAGAAGAAGTGGCAGTGGTCGTTGTATTCTCATTGGCAAGCCTCAGCGCACGTATTGCGCTCCATCATGACTCCTCATGACTCAACACTGACTCAACAATGATTCAATGTGACTCAATAATGATTCAGTTTCAGCAGGGCGGAGTGCAGGGCAGCAGTGGCAGAAGCAGCAGGGCGGAGTGGCAGGGCAGCAGAGAGGGGCATGGCAGCAGTGTAGAGCGGGCATGGCAGGGTAGCAGTGGCAGAGCAGTTGTGGCAGAGCAGCAGGGCAGCAGTGGCAGGCAGCGCGGAGTGGCAGGGCAGCAGTGCGGAGTGGGCAGGGTGGCAGGGCAGCAGTGGTAGGGCAGCTGTGGGAGGACAACAGTGACAGGTCGAGATCGGTTTGATTCCGGGGTTCGCTCGGTTTGATTCCGGGGCTCACTCGGTTTGATTCTGGGGCTTGTCCGGTTTGCATCAGGACTGCCGATCGTCAATGTTATTCTTGAGAGTCTCTGCAGTGCTTCTGCATTATACTGCAGTTTGCAGCGCGTTTTACGATTTGCCACTGTTCTTCGCGATGCTGCTGGAACGATGCTTATCAGGCGGGACGGTGGCAGAACGGACAGGGTAGCAGAGTGGCCAGGCGGAAGTGCAGAGCAGCAGGAGTGGCAGGGCAACAGTGACAGGTCGAGACTATGATTCCACGGCTCGCTCGGTTTGATTCCGGGTTCGCTCGGTTTGATTCCGGGGCTTACTGGGTTTGATTCCGGGACTTGCTCGGTTTTGCGTCAGGACTGCCGATCGCCTGCGTCGCTGAGTGCATCGTTCTCAGGGTGAGGGACCAGTTCGACGAGGAATTGGAAAACCTAGTGTCAGCAACGTGTTGTTGTGTTCTTCACGCCGTGTGGTTTGCAGTGCTTTTACGATTTGCCTCTGTTCGTCGCGATGCTGCTGTAACGGTCACTACGTGTCAAACAAGCTCGATTGCAAGATCCGCGCGTCGTAACGGGTCACTACGGGTGGGAAAAGATTGGATCCATCGGGCGGATGCGTGTCACACCGTAAAAAGTTCTATCTTGTGTTTCTAATCCTATTCAAAATCTGTATTCTCAGATTTGATGTTTCTATTTTGTTTGCTAGTTTTGTTGCGCGTAACTGCTGGTTAGCCTCAATGCCGTTGAGTGGCGAATCCTTCCTGTTTCGCTTGCCTCCAGTCGCCGTTGCTGTCTGTGTGAGACACTGATCAGCGACAAGGGCCATAGCGATGAGTGGTGTCAGACTGCAGTGCAAAGCAGTGCGCCCTTCATCGCTGACGCTGCACCCGCTAAGCTAGCGGTAATCGTGTTTATAGCGTCTTCGAGTTTTTGAAAGTGCTAGGGCATTTTCTGTCGAGCCTAAGAAAAACATCCTTGTGCCATGCTTTAAACCGCGCCTTGATGACACCGCTTGCGTGAGAATCAGTCCGCGCCGGTTCAAGATGCCGAAGCCGATCACAGCACAAGGGTGCAGTCAGCATGCAACGCATCAGCTCCTTAGTGCAGCACTGAAGATTGGCATGTCAGCTTCGGCATAAAATTTTGTCCCACCCGCCCACCCTTCGACTCAGCCGAGTCTGCACTGCGTGGCTTGTGCCCCCTTCAGGCCTCCTGGCCTTGTGGGACCCGGGTCCATCCAAGGTCCTGTGACCTGCAATCTGCCCCTCATGACATATGTCTCACCCTTAGCTCGGCATGGGGCCGACACAGCAGCTGTCGCCCTATCGGGAAAACTTAGCGATGCGCGGGACTGACGCAGCAGCTGTCACCCTGCCGCCAGTTTTTGGATATCAGCCATGCCCGACGACATGACGTTACCCTGTCGGGCCAAGCGTCGGCCTGAAAACTTTGGCGTACTCCGGTCCAGCGTTCCATTCTTCTGGCACCTCTGGTGCTCCCGGTTTCAGCTGATCTGGATCTGCTTCCCGCCAATGTGAAAAAGTGTCCGCGCGTCGCTTTCTTCGCATTCCCTTAATAATATGCATTCGTAACGGACTAGTGTTTGCTGTGAACGTGGATGTACTTGTACACGTATGTTTGCAGCTAACACGCAACGGCAAGTATGCACTTAACGCATCCGCCCGCCCGGCAGCTCTGGCTCCGAGGTTAAGTGCTTACTGCCTGTCCGTTCGACTTTGAAGCACCCACCGCCGTCCCCTATCTGACCATCCCTCTGTCTTCCTTGCCGAACTCCTGTCCTCGCTGTGGCCTGTTCTTGTGGCGGTTTCTGATCGATCAAAGCATCGGTTCAGATTCCGTCGCTTAAGTGATGGCTCCACGCCCTGCCTCTAGGACAAGCCTAGGTAGATTGCCTTCTTATGCTGGAGCCGGCGTACTCCGGTCCAGCATTTCATTCTTCTGGCACCTCTGGTGCTCCCGGTTTCAGCTGATCTGGATCTGCTTCCCGCCACTGTGAAAAAGTGTCCGCGCGTCGCTTTCTTCGCATTCCCTTAGTAATATGCATTCGTAACGGACTAGTGTTCGCTGTGAACAACAAGAGAAAAGGAGCACAGATCATGACATGTGCACGGAGGCAAGAGACCTATTTCCGAAACACAGAAGAAGAGAAGGATGACAGACAAAACAAAAACAATACTACCAGACTTCTCACCCAGCGTCTGCTCTGAGCTTTTGTGGACAGGTTGACGCTCTTCGGCGATTGGACACTGTAGAGCTCAGGCTTGCCATCGTCTTTGAGCACCAGCCTCCTTGCCACGAGGTCGCAGTCTACCTTGAAGGTGTTGATGCTTTCGATGCCCTCGCTCTTCACGTGAACGGTGTAGGCTGTGTGAGCTATGCTTGGGACTAAGAACATGACTTGCACATCAACTGCTTGAGCATTCTTCACGGTGTCAAGCATCTTGTCGATGCCGTTGCCGATGATATAGAGACCCTTGTGTTTTGCGTTCTTGTAGTTCGTCATGCGATTGAAGCGCTGCAGGTGGTTGTTGATATTTCCTCTGACTTTCACGCCCTCCAGAACGAACCTCTCCCCACCAATTTCTAGTGCAATGTCTGGATTTCCTTCACCCTTCCGAGATTTCTTTGTGGAAACAGGCTGGTACCTCATATCTTTCAAGGTGGTGCAAATCGCCTCGTTGTACTGCTCCTCACTCGGAAGACCGTCCTTCGCCAGCTCAGATGTGTCTGCTTCGAAGCTCACAACCTTGGAGAAGAGGAGGTATGGCAACGCTCGCATCAGTAGGTCTGCACAGTGTTGGGGTTTGTTGTGAATGAGGCAAACTTGCAAACTTTGCTTCTTCTTCAGATTGTAGAAATAATACGAGGCAAGGAAAGGATTTGCTGCTCGGTATTCTGTGTCTTCATTCATCCAATCCAGCTTCTGGAACTCTCCCTCTGCGCCACTGCGTTTGGGAACCACGAACCCGTAGATGGTCAGGTCTCTCCGGATATGCTGCGGCAATGTTTTTGAGCCCTGGCACAAAAGCTCTGCAAACTCTCTCGGCACGTTGCTCACGTCTTTGTACCATTGACCCTCACTGCACGGCTCTGGCGCAGGTGCCCCAAAATCTCTTCGTCTGCGCAATTCCAATCTCCTCCAGCGTAGCTATTCCGCACAGACCCTACAGTCTTCTGGAAATCCCAGCTTTCCCCAATGCTCTGCTTGCTCTGCACCCAGCGCATTGCTGCAATGAAGATTCCCCGATGTCCGCCACAAAATTGCATGAAGAACTCGATGCTTTTTTGGTCCAGCCTAACGCCGGCTTCCTCCAGCTGAGTCTCCAGCTCTTGCGTGTAGCTCAAAAAAGGTGTCCACATGTACTTCTGTGTGATTTCACCGGGTGTTGACACAAATCAGGGCTGATGCATTGGAAGCGTCCTCTGAAGCTGAGAAGAGCAGAATCCTTGGTCGATAGGCTCCACTGCTCTTGAAGAGGGCTGAGCATAGCTGTTGTGACGCAAGAAGCGTGTGAGCCTCGTCGTACAGAAGGATCAAGTTACAGCATTCCTAAAGGCTAAATCATTTCTGTCGATGTTGTTGGCAATCACCTTCTCGATGGTTTCTACAGTCCCCATCTCCCAAGAAGATTGCTTCCCTCCACCAGTAAAAGGCACATTGACGTATTGGGGAGACTGACGTGCCAGTTCTTCCGCCAGTGTTGTCTTGCCGGTGGCTACGCCTCCGCGGATGAAGACAAAATCATGGCCTCCTTCAAACAACTCATCAGCCTTCTTGTTGTAGTCTTTCAGAGACAGGAAAACGTGCTCTTGCGGATTTGCTGCCTTGCTGGGTGGTATGCGAGACGTTTTGGTACTAGCATTACGGACTTCTGCTTTCAATCTCGTCGGAACTCTTCCGTTAAATCTAGTGAGAGGCTGGAATGGCTTGCACCCTCCGCCAATAAAGGTCAAACGATCGCGCACACCGCCAACGCAAAGCGTCGCCCGCCTCATGGGAAGATAATGAGGTTTCTCTAAGGTCACGTCTCCCATACGACCTTAATACATGCAACACTGCAACACATTGCCCTCTTACAAATTGCTTGCTGAATGTTGCAGTGATGAACATGTACTCAACGGATTTGAGCCAGCTGAGAAGTGGAGTGGAGCAACTGCATGCGACTAATCTTCCAGCTGCAGCCGATTTCATTTAGAAGCCTTGCCTCTGGCGCGCGCAATCCAACAGAGATCGCGCGCGGTCATTATTGAGTCGAGGACGAAAATCCCGTTTGAAACAAACCCGAGCTTTTTTCCGCCTTGTAGTGTCCGTTGTGACCGTAGTGACCGCGTTGTGACCGTAGTAACCCTGTTGTGACCGTAGCAACCGCGTTGTAACCGTCCCCGTTGTGACCGTAGCAACCGCGTTGTGACCGTAGTACCGTAGTGACCATGGTGACCGCAAGAAAATGGATTTTACAAAAACCGGAGTGACCGTAGTGACCGTGTTGTGACCGTAGTGACCCCGTTGTGACCGTAGCAACCGCGTTGTGACCGTAGTGACCGTGGTGACCGTGGTGACCGCAAAAAAATTGATTTCACAAAAAAAACCGTAGTTACCGCAGTGACCGCGTAGTGACCGTAGTGACCAAAAAGTTAATTGGTTCATAATGTTGTGACCGTAGTGACCGTGGTGACCGCAAAAAAATTGATTTTACAAAAAAACCCGTAGTGACCGCGTAGTGACCGTAGTGACCGCAAAAAGTTAATTGGTTCATCATATCTCCGTATCCCACACACTTTAGGGGCTGATGGGGAGTAGAGAAACTTCTTTTGAAGAGTGTCGAGGTTACAAATAAGCTGATTGTACAGTGGACCGAGACGATTCATCGTTTTGGAACGTATGTTCATGCTGTTGTCTGTCCACACTCAAGCTCAAAGGCCAGGGCCTAGCCCAAAATGAGATCTTCAAACTCTGCAAGCCTTCTGCTGCAGTTCCTTGGCTCCAAAGCAGTTCGGAGCCATGGCAAAGGGTCTGCATAGGGCTGCATGGTTTTGTCTGTGGCTTGGCTTTGCCACCTGCCAACCTTCCTGCCAGGAAGTAGATAGCCTGGTTTTGGAGGTGGAGGAGGGTGATGCGAGCGAGAGCGATGTGCAGCAGCTGCTATCTTGCCGGCTTGATTGTCAGATTCTGATACCTCTGGGATGCAGCCTTTCAGAAAACCAAACTTTGCCACTGCTGAGGCAAGCAGCCACAAGCCTGAGCTGTTCAAATTACGAGAATTTGACCGAAACTTCCCTGGAGCTCTGGTTAAACTGTGGTGGAGACATCCACTGGGAAGACGCCGCAGGCAATCCGCTCTTGGACCTCCTGAGAAACAGAGAGGCCCGGAAATTTTGGAACCAGCAAGCAACCATCGAGGCAGCTGTGGCACACACGGTGTCAGACTGGCGTGCTTGGGTGATTCCAATCTCAGCCGCCTTCTTGGCCTTCTTGGAGGTCTGCGCGGAGCGCTACGGCTTCCGGAGGTGCAAAGACCAAGAAGCACCTGGCAGTGAGGCCAAGGAGGACCCTTTCCTGGAGGGGGCCAAGCTCTTGGTGAGTGCGGCTTTTCGGAAGCATAACATCTTGGTGTCGCTCTGGCGCTTCCTGGAAGTCAGTACTTGCATCTTCTGGTTTGCGCTGGTCTTGCTTATCGTGCACTGGGGCTGGTGGCCACCCGTCTTTGTTTCTGAGCTCCCCTCATAATTTGAACAGCGGTCCCAGCAGTCTCCAGATGCGCAAGACGGCTGTGCTTCAGGGCTAGTCTGGGCAATGTAGGGGGACTATACAGCCCGAAAGGATCCCAGTGGCCGGGATGATGTACCTGCTGCCGGCCTTCCGCATCTATGGATGGAAGGAGGTCATGAAAGCCCCGACCCTGGCGATGGTGACCCGAACCTTTGGGGGCCAGGTTTCGGTGATCCCCAAAGTTCATGGCATAGGGGTCTTCTCAATTCTGAGGGTTCTTTAAACTTAGCAGGTCGCCGCCCTGCTGCGCACGTCAGCTCTCTTCGGCATCTTTTCTTTCATCTATGGAGGACTCTACTGGAAGGCCGGCAGGTTGACAAGTCTGGGTTGAGGGTTCAAGGCCTCAATGTCATGCCATGCTTTTAATTTCATGTGGGGACGAAAAACACAAGTTTTCCTGAAATAGGTTTGTCAATCAAGCTGCAGCAGCTCCCAGGTGCTCATCCCTGACTACATGATTGACAGATTCTCATTCCTGATCAACCCTCTTGTTATCAGCTGGTCGAAGCAGAAACTGGGTCATTATCAGCAAGCTTTCGCATTCTTATTGTTGATGCCGCAAGTGTAGACTGCTGTTTCATTCTTCCCCGAAGCATTGATGCAGGAAAGAAAACATGCTTCAAAACAGCATTTTGAATGAGCACTGGCTATTCTTCTGGGCTCCGGACATCAATGCTCTTCAAATATTCAGAACCTTCAGAGAAATCGCCATCTGTCTCGTTGTTCTGTACTGGGCCTGTCTGCTGATTGCGGTGCTCCGGCACTTCATCTGCCGCTGTTGCTCCGGAGATGATCCGAAGAAGGCTCTCCGCCATGAGCTGGAGCATGCCGTGCAGGAGCGGCGTGACAGGTTTGCGGGTCAAAGGTGTTAAGGCTGCTAAAAGGTTTAGGGGGGGGGGGGGGTTGGAGGATTCTGGTGTTTTGGAGGATCCTTGTGATCGCATTGCCAGGAGCTCTTGCAAAAACAGCCAGAGGATTTTGGCGAAGTGGACAAGCGGATCAAGCCTGTGAAAGCCTTTTTGTGCCCTTGGCATGGGACTGGACTGTATCAATCTGTGGCCTTGCAGCTTCTGGATATTGCGCTACACATCAACACGAGTCTCAGGTTTATCCTGGAAGGCAAAGGTCTTGTAAAGGCAAGAGACCTGTAAAGAAACAGATCGTTTTCAGGGCAACCCGCAAGTCCCGCCACGCACTGACGTTTATCGACTTGTCTATGCTCCGCCCAGCCGCCCAACTTGTCCTACGTGGTATAGAACCGACTTGTGTACTCCCTGGAAGGCGAGTACTGGTTCGCCGCGGTCATGATCTTCGTGGTGACCCGGAGCATCGTCAAGCAGTTTTTCATCCTTCCAGCGTGGCAGTTCCGGAAGGCCTAGCTTGGCTCGTTAGGGGGGGGGGGGGGGGGGGGGGGGGGGGGGGCGGGGGGCCGTTGCCTTTCTAAAGGCCCAAATGTATTCTAATCCTTACGTATTGCGATCTGCCTGGTCGTGTCGTGGATGTGCTGGATATCTGCGGTGGCAATAATCATAATCATAAAAGTTAGTGATTTTCTTGCCGAGATTCCTCACACTGGCATTGCTTGAGTACCGCTTGCCTTATCATACTTCTCCTAGATGTTGAGGCACCTAAATGAAGAGAGTTGGAATTCCGAACGTAGCTAGTCGTGTTTGTCGTGCCTTTGCCACAAGCATCACATAATGCTGCCCTTGCTTTTTTGTGTTCTACAAAAGAAAGCTCTGAAGCGGCCTTCAAGAAAGCACGCAAAATCAGACCCTTGGCCTCTGAACAGCCCAGCCTTACACCTCCTCCAGGCGCTGAAGGCGAGCGTTAGCAGGGGCCTGCTGAGAAGGGACGTCCTGGACTTCTTGGAAGATCCTTGGGTGAATTCGAGGGCATCTATGCCTTGTTTAATCAATCTTGCTTGATCATGATGGAGTGGTGCTCATGATTGATTGCGTCATCATGATGATGCGAGTAGCTTAAGCCATGAACGGCACGAAGCTACATGCAGAGCCGTCAGTCAGGAGCAGAAGCGATCAGAAGCTCTCTTCTGCGGCTGCTTCACAGCCTATTCTCTCTTCTTTGCCATCAACTCAGCAGGGGACATGCTGGTGCAGTACGTCAGCCTGCTCTCCAGCATGTGGCAATTTGCAGGCTTTGGGATTCCCTTAGCCTAAAACGCTTCGAGGTTCAACTTACTGGTGGTTAGTAGGGAATATGGGAATACATTTTATAGGGATAATGCAGGAATTATACTCCCATATTCCAGATTCCCTATCAGTCATCAGTAAGTCAAGGCTTAGGTTAAAGGTTCAGCCCTGGAGGCTACGCGATGGAGCTCTGCAACCTGGATTTCAAAGTGGAGGCGGTTCTTCCGCAAACCACAACCAGCCCACATCCTCCCGCCGATCTCCCCAAAAATATGGACCAGCTGGGAGGGGCTCCTTGCCACGACTTAAGGGGCCAATCTGTCTGAGCAGGAGTAAGTCTGATTTTGATAAATCAGTCTATAGTCCCCCCTTAGGTAGATAGAATCTGGGGTATATGGGGATCTTATTATAATATACCCAAAGCCATACTCTATCTACTTAAGGGGGGCTATGGGCTTGCAAAGACGCTGGCGCTGAGGATGAGATCAATGCAGATGTCGAGGATGTCCAGCTGGCGAACCAGAAGATCCATCAGGAGGTTTGATGCCTCAGAGTACAGTCGTGTCGGATTCCGGCCTACATCCATTGTGGATTTGGTGGCCACGCCTTATCAACCAACAATTGAGAAAGTAGGTGTGCAATTTTTGGCATTGCTCACGGTCGCCATCTCTATGCGAACTAAGTAGCCCTGATGAATGGTATTCGGTCAGCCCAAACATGCCGAGCAGCTTAGGGGTGCCTAGCCTTGGAATTCCTTTCAAGAAGAGGCGGCCGCGCAATGTGACGCAGCAGGCTAACCTGTTTTGGATACCTTGCAGCAGGCCCGCCATGACTCCTGAACACTTTGGGAGCATCTGTGTTAGGTGGACCTCCCGCCCAGTAACAGTGGGCTATAGTGGATAATCAGGATTATCATAAGTGTCCTCTTTTTTCCTACTATACCACTATGAACGGGTGAGGGGTCCTCCTGACATCTGTGGGTCAAGTTGCATCAAAGTAAGAACCTTGGCAACCATGGGCAGGGGGCTTTAAAAGGAAGCTCAGAAGACCCAGGGAGGCAACCTGTTCTCGTTTGGGCGTGTGTGCCAGGACTAGGCCTATTCCCAAAGCCTGTTTCGCGCTCCAGACAAATGGCATGTCCATGTCTTGGCACACAGCCATTTAAGTCCAGCATCCCTACGGATGCACTTGTGACGCCCCCTCTCCCTGAAAGAGAGTCCTGCTGCTTCTGAACCGCAAGGGCAGCTGGCTCGACCTCAAGCATGCAAGCGATAAAAAAATGTACCGTGTCTTTCTACCTGCTTTTTGGGCTCTGAGGAAGAACAAGCTAGGGTCGGGACCACTGTGTCGAATTGGGCCTGATTGACCGCTGTGACTGGCATGGCGACCTTTGAAATGTCATCCGTTGCACTCATCAATTCGCTGCTCTCCTTCTTGACGTTCCTTTGTTGACCAAGTGTGGGGTCATCCAAAGCACTTGCCCGGTCGATTTTGTTCGAACCGTGGGGTCGCTGGCAAATTGGACCCTTGTGTGCTCTTACATCCTGCTATCCGATTATACTTGGCAGATGGATGGGACAAATGACTGGACGTTTTGCAGGCTTGGCGGTGGAGTGACATCGTTCCAGTCACTCCACGAGCATGACATACCTTTTGGAATGCGCCGGAAATCTTTAGCCCCACACAAGCTTTGACACAGAGTCAACAATCCCTGAAGTTGTTGCTAGGCGTGCCTATCAGCTGTACACCTCCATTGTTGAGGGGTTCGAGACATTTGGGCTTCCGGTCAGGGTTGCCAAAGCACACTTGTTTGCTCGTCCCGGCAAACAGCGAAAGCACTGCAAGGTTACCAGAATCTTTGGCCTAGCCGTAATGTGTGACGACAGCCGAAGAAAATTGTCCGTTTGTGAAGTTAGTCAAATCCACAGCCCCCTCTCCCGGAGGTCGGGATGAGCGCGCAAATTTTGATGTGAAGAATAGCAGCAGTAAAACGTGTTCTTTTGTTCGGCGACTGCTTCCATACTATAACTAGCTCAGACGACAAGTGGCTCGATCTGCCATCGTTGGTTGCCACTGGTTGCAAACGACCCGTGGAGTTTAAACTGCAACAGTTCTTCTTTCATAACCCCAGATGTTCATTTCAGCTTTGGCGTCCTTGTGAAATGTGAACTCTGACAGAAATACCCCATACCGTTTACAACACAATTGACAGACATAGTTGTTCAAGGTAGATGGGTAATGCGTGTTGATCCATCGCATGATGTGGGGCCATTGAGGAGGACGGGGTTGAGCCCATGTTGCAAGCGAGTATCGGTGGCATATTCGTAGCAAAAGGAGCCTTGAAAAAGCAATGTTTGTCAGCAAAAGGTCATTGCAGTCAAGTCGTTGAGCCCAGGAAAACGCTGCAACCCCCACAGTGTCAGCTTTAGCCATCATTTTGGCAACATCCACCTGACTCTTGGCCTGTGGCAGGACAGTTGGCGCTCCAAAGTCCAAAGCACCATGACGGTGACTCGCAGGAGACGCCAGCCTCGGGCCTCAATTGTTGCCCAGTGCGCTCATGTTAGCACTGCGTAACGTGCGTAATGAGCGAGCAAACAGATGATTCCAGTGAATGGTTTAAAGGGTTGGAATTTGTTCGGGCTGGCCTGAGGTTGCAAATGCAACAAGTTCTTGGAACCCCGCCATGCAAGCGACTTTCAGCACTGAGGTGAGATTGCCGCGTCCTGCCAAGGCCACAGACAGGACGGAGACATTTAGGCATGCTTGCATGCTGAAGCCTCATCATGATTTCTGGCTCCTTGCGGAACTAGTCAAGCGGAAGTTTCGCTTGGAGCCTGCTTGAGAATGCCCTTGCAAGTTGATCTAAACAATGCGTCTGCATAATTTGTAGGAGACAGTAGGAGACAGGCCTTTACGGGCTTGTAAGAGCAGCATCTTGCAGAAAGGGGGGCACATCGTGGGCCTGCCCGCAGCACCGTGCCTGCCGTAGTGAGGGAAACGCAAATGGATTTGTATAGCGGGCACGAGCACATCTATCCGGTCATAGGCCTGGACCTGAAAAGGGGATAGGGGCCTCTGCAGGAAGAGCAAAGAAACTGGCTTACACCCAGCATGCACGTAGTTGAGGGCCATTACAACCAGGTGAACACACCTTTGAACACTCAAGCGCAAGTGAGCTGAAGCTCCCCGGCAGGGTCGCTGATCGAAGATTTTCGGAGCAGCGGAAAGAGAGCGGTGGAGGGAGACAGGCTGTCATCCCGGCACAGAGCCAAAGTTGAAACAAGAAAGTGAGCAAACTGGGTCCTTGCATCTCGAAGGAGGCGAGGGACAGAGGAGACCCATGAGCAAAAGGTGAACTCAGCGTCGACAGCGAAGGTAACACCCTCCAAAGGGAAAACGTCGGCAGCGGGATTGGAGGGACGGCCCTCGGGTGCGGCCGGTACATCCTCGGAGCGTGGCTTGCTGTGAGCTGGGGGCATGCAGGGATTGAGGCTGGAGCTCGGTGCTGAAGAAGCAGAAACAGAATGAGCATCTTTCAAATGGCAAGACGAGGAGATTCCTCCGGCGCCTTCAAAAGCGGCGCTGGGGGCATCCCTGGCAATCACTTCTTGGGGTTTGCTGCGGAGGCCGCCTTCTTTGCAGCGGCCCATTGGGCGGCCCTCTGCAGCTTTTTCGTAAGGTGCCTGGGTTGTCTGAAGAACCTGGCGCGTGCGGCAGAGTCTGATGCGGCAGAGGGATGGAAGGCTGTTTTGGAAGCTGGCGCAGGCAGGCTGGGTCTTGGTAGGACTTGCTTCTACTTTCCGGGCAGCGATAGTCTCTAACTCCTTGACATACATGCTAGTGGGGAGAAAGTCTGGAGCGTAGAGCCGGGGAGGTTGGAATATCCTCAACGAGGGATCAAGAACTCCCGAACCGGGCCCGAAGCCTTGAACCTCGACTCAAGCTTCTTCAACGCGCCTTCCCAGGCGGGCCCAGGCGGGTGCCGGGTTGTGGCACTAGGATGCCTTGTTCAGTCAACCAACACCTCATGTTCTCGGTCGTCAGACCTTGTTTCAAGATACAAGGCTCCAACATGCCGAATCCCACTTGCTGTTTCCTCGCAGACTATCGGGGGGGAAGCTGTGTGCAATTTTGTGCAGTTGACACAGTTTGGGCCAGCCTTGGCAGTCACGGAGTAGCCAGGCGCATGCCATTCGTCTCAGTGAGCACACTTCAAAAAGTTTGCCGTTGCAGCTGCTCCATACGATGTAGTTGTGGTGGTCCTTGGAAGGGCCCATCCTTGCGAGCTTTGGTTGAAGTCGATGCGGACCTTGGGATGCTGTACTCTCTGCAAGCTCTGGCTGCAGTCGAAGGCCAAGGTGTATAGGTTGTCGGGATGTTGTACCTGCAAGCCCCTTGTTATAAGACGCTGATGAATGTTTGCAATCAGTCGATCTTTTGGTCTTATCTATTGGGGTGAATGCCTGATGCTGCCGGCTTGTGGAAGTTCGTGCTATCCCTTTCCTTGCTGCATGTATGCCAGCCTTGGCAGTCCTGGAGTCTCAGCCAGCTGCGCGTTTTTCCATGTCACAGCCTACCGCATTGAGTACTTTTCAAGGTCGCGCTCGCATTCACGCAGAGCTCATGCAAACAGGGATGTAGTTTTCAAGAGTTGCCCAAACACTCTCGCAGACCATGCGGCCATTACAGCCTGAACCTTACGGAGGGACCATCTGCGTGCACGTTGTGCGGAAACGCCCCGTCGAATCTTTCCCAGCCTTTTCAGCTTAAGCGCTTGGTCCCAGGCATTCAGAAGGTCTTCGCGTGGCGTCACATCTTTCGCAGAAAGGGCTTCACCAGCGGCTGATGGGGCGCCGGGCCTTCCCGACCCCTAGACTATAGTGAGCTCTCGGTAGGCACTCTCCCCGGCCTCCGCTTGGGTCAGTCAAGGCCCCCTGCTCTCGCATGGCCTCTGCTTGGGTCAAGCAAGCTTCCCCACCCGACCCAGCTTCTGTGCCAGCCTGTGCTCCTGACGCCGCCGTCTCCGGACGCCAGATGTCGGGAAGTGCAGTGTTTTGTTGTTGTTTGTTGTTTGTTTAGTTTGTTTCGGTGCTTCTCGTGTAGCTAGGTTTCGTGCTGCCCTAAGAAGTAGGATTAATTTTGTGACAGCAGCACGTTTCCATCCACAAAGGGCTTTGTGTAACTTTGCGGAGTTCTATGGGTTTGGGCATAAAGTGCATAGGGCACCCTGTGCAATGAGTTCCGTATCGGCCTGAGGCGAGGACGTTTTGCGGTCGAAGTATCTGCCGACACCGCATAAGCGAAGCCAGGAGGGACATCATCTGTCCCGTGATGGCAGCGCACAAGGCTGGATTCCTCTTTGAAAGGCCCTGCTTCACTGCTTCATCATGTGTAGCTCAGGCACCAATCGCACCAATCATGGCTCGGTCTTCAGCTTCGCTTCCATTGGCCGGCACCGTGCTGACCCTTGTGCCCAAAACACTCCAGACCTGCCAGACCTCGAGCTTCTTGAGCTTCTGCAGTGTTATAGGGTTTGGGCAG